TCAGCCATCGTTCCTCCAAGCTAAAGAGCCCCAAGCGCTTTAACCTGACAGGGTAGTCTAGTGCGCTCCAGTAGCCACAAGTTTAAAAGACTGCTCAGACTCTTGGAGCAAGACGGAGTACAATCCCATCCTCCTCCCCTGCACCCCCCATAAAGGGCCTCAAGGGTACCTACCTTATCTGTAAAGAGTTCGAGGACGAAAGTTGCCACGCTGCCGTTGATGCCGATAAAGAGGTTGATGCACGTCAGGGCCACATAAGCCGTGCTGGGGACGCTGAAGAAGAAGGATGCTGGGTACATGAGAGGTGTGATGGACCATCTGATGGGCGAGGTGGGGGACAAGGAGAGAGAGATTAGTGCAACGTGGTGGGAGTGGATTTGACCTGTTCCTATTAATTTTTTGTTGTTGTTGTTCAGTCGCACAGTCGAGTCCGACTCTTTGCGACCAGATCACGCCAGGCCCTCCTGTCCTCCGCCGTCCTCTGAAGTTGGCTCAATTTCATGTTCGTTGCATCTATGACACTGTCTAACCATCTCATCCTTTGCCGTCCCCGTCTTCTTTGACCTTCAATCCTTCCCAATTCACCTATTAATTTTACAATCAAATTATTATCAAATCCTGCTGGATTCGACTCATTCCTATTACTTTTATTTATTTATGTATGTATTCGATTTATGTCCCATCTCTCTCCCGCAATGTGGTGCTCAGGGAAGCTCACCACATTTTAAAAGGCATACCACAGAACCATAAGGTTCATCATCGAAGCGGTTAAAACAGCCAAAAACTCGACGTTCTGCTCGTAACCTAGAAATATTTGAAGAGAAAACATCTGGCAGACCAACAGCCGCTATAATTAAAAGGATCATCTAAAGCAGAGATGTCAAATTCATTTTTTAATGGGGGCCGGATTTGACATAAATGTCACTTCGGTGGGGTGGGCCACGTGTGCCATAAAACATCATGCCAGGGACCGGAGATAGAAACTGAATAAAGGACAGCAGCTGGTAAGCTCTGAGTTGTTGTGCCCTCGCTGCACGGCCCCCTGGGGCGGGAGGGGGTTGCAGAGAAAAACCCACATGGGCGGACCGGAGAGCCAGCAGTGTAGCACTGGGCAGATGCTCCCACGATGCTTGACTGCTGCAGAAGAGGTTCTTCCGCAGTACTGAAGCTACAACTGGAGTGGCTCCACACACTCCTCTCCCCGAGCACTCTTCTCTTCCCTCCCTTGCACCAGTTGCTCACGGGCTGCATAGAAGCCCTGGACGGGCCAGTTCTGGCCCCCGGGCCTTATGTTTGACACCCCTGATCTAAAGGCCTGCTGGAACAATTCCATCAGGCCTGCCCTGCGGAACCCTGACAGGTCCCCCGGGGCACATGTCTCCTCTGATAAAGCACTCCACCAGGATGAGGCAATGATGGGAAAAGCCTTCGCCTTGGCGGATGTAAGACAGACTTCCTGAGGACCAGGCATTGTCAGGAAAAATTGCATCGTAGGGGAGTGGGGGGGGGGTTATACCAGGAGAGACAGTCCTTCCGCTACACCAGCCCCAGACCATTTAGGGCTTCAAAGGTTATAACCAGCAGCAGTGTTCCCTCTAAGCTGAGTCAGTGTGAGCTAGCTCACAGTTTTTTGTCCTCCGGCTCACACATTTTTGTCTTAGCTCAGGAGGGATGGTTCCAGAGCAAGCTAATTTGTGCAGCAGCCAAATCACCTCCTCACAACTTTAATGCCAGTAGCTCACAGAGTAGAATTTTTGCTCACAAGACTCCACAGCTTAGAGGGAACATTGCCCAGCACCTAGAACCTAATCTGGAAACAAAATGGCAACCAGTGCAGCTGCCTTAAGATTGGCTGTATACAAGTAGACCAAGATGAGCCGGTCAGCAGCCTGGCAACTGCATTCTGGATCACCTGACGTTTCCAAAGTGACCCCCAAGGGCAGCCCCATGTAGAGCACATTGCAGTAGTCTAGTCTGGAGGGGACCGTGGCATAGATCACTGTGGCAAGATAATTCTTTTTTTTTTTTAAGTTTGGGGAGCAGCATATTCGCACTCTTTTTAATTGGTCGTTGAGATACCGGCAAGGATTTAGCCAAAACGGAGACAAAAATAGATACAAAACCGTGATAAATTACTATCAAATTTACTTCATATAAATAAGAACTGGCCAGGTTTTCAGGTCAGCTGCCAGGAACACAGGAATTTCCCACCCACCCCCTTAGCTGTATACCTTGATACAGCTTTGGGGTTGGACCTGGATTAAATCCCCTCAGACAGGGCCCCAATTCACCAGGTTCTGCCTCGGTTCTAACCCCTGACCAACTGTGGGCTCTTCCAGACTCCAAGGTTTGGTTTGGTTTTGATTTCATGGACGGGCCACCTTCCTTTCAAATTCCCTTTCCCAAAGCTCTCACGTCATCAGAGTAGTTTCCACCAGCGGCAAAGTACTTCATTTCCCTATCCTTCGTACAGTCACCTTTGGAAGGGGATTACATAGATTCATGGAGGACAGGTCCATCAGTGACTCAAGGGAACCGCCACATTCAGAGGCACTAATCTTCTGAATCCTAGTGCCAGGAGGCAACATCAGAGGAAGGCCTCGCCCTCTCTGCCCTGCTGTTGGCCCTCCAGAGGAACTGGTTGGCCACTGTGTGAGTCAGGAGGCTGAACTAGAGGGACCACTGGTCTGATCCAGCAGGGCTCTTCTGATGTTCTTATGAAGGCCTTGGCCTCTATGCCCTGTTATTAGCCCTCCAGAGGAACTGGTTGGCCACTGTGTGAGACAGGATGCTGGACTAGGTGGACCACTGGTCTGATCCAGCAGGGCTCCTCTGATGTTCTTATGAAGGCCTTGGCCTCTATGCCCTGTTATTGGCCCTCCAGAGGAACTGGTTGGCCACTGTGTGACAGGATGCTGGACTAGAGGGACTGCCGGTCTTATCCAGCAAGGCCGCTCTTGGCTTACTAACCACCCACTGGGCAGCATGGACCATACCAAAGGCTGTAACCATTGCTGGGGTAAGCAAGGAAAGTGGACACAGCCGGGCATCCGCAGAGGCCCGCAGCCCAGAAGAGGACCCAGCACTGCCGAGAGACGGGCCGCCCACCCCAGAAATCCGTGGGACGTCATAGGGAGGGGCCTTCAGGACAATCTCCCATCTCCCGAGGGAACCAAAAAACGGCTTTTCCCAGGCTCCTCTGAGCCTTGCTGGGGACGAGGGTGCCATCTGCTCCCTTCCCTGCAACGCCATGCACACACGAAAAGAAGGGCGGGGGCCACAAGGGAGCCTCTTTCTCAGCACCCCTGCCCCAACATGCAGTTGGCCTGGCCCACCCTCTTTTCCACCTTTATCTGCCCCACGGCCAAGGACCGACCACAATTCCCCCTCGCCTTGGCCTTACCCGTAGAGGAGGAGCAGCAGAATCAGGGTTGGGAGGTTAGCTGGGGACACGTAGGACTTCTGCTGGAAGCAGATGAAGATGAGGACCACCAGAACGGCCGGGACGAGATAATTGCACTGCAGGGAAGAGGCGAGGGAAGGTCAGCCCCTCCCGCGGGGTGCCAAGACCTGGTTCACAGCGCCACAAGACGGGGGGAGCGGCTCCCCGTTCCAGCCCCGGCCGGCCACCGTCGCTCACCATGTCCCAGGCGAAGTTGCCCAGCCAATAGACGCCGGGTTTCATGCCGCTGACAATCTGCAGGTGCTTGGCGTTGCTGACCCGCTCCTCTATGAGGAAGAGGACGAAGCTGGCGGGGACGAAGGACAAGGCGAACATCACACAGATGGAGACCAGCACGTCTACCGAGGTGGCCATCCTGGAGAAGACACGGGCCTATGAGCGACACGAGCCGGGGCGGTGTGGTGGTTGGCAGGGCTGATCTAGGACTGGGCTGGAGTTCTAGGTCCCTTTCTGCGCTCTCCTTTTAATCCACGCTCACTGCGGTGTCCTCCAAGCAATTCTGCACTAAAATCAAATTCAGCCTTCTTTTTAATCCAGGGTTTCCCCCCCTCCATTCTGCACTAAAATAGAGTTCAACCTTCTTTTTATTCCGGGGTTTCCCCCCATTCTACATTACATTACCTCCCACCAGGGGTCAGCCTGGTTTCAGCCTGCTCTCGCCCTGGGTTCTTTGGATGCTGTTTGGCCCTGGACTTAAATTGCATTGAACACTGAGAAAATCCGTAGTGGGAGGCAAATGCGGAAAGGACCCCAGTCGGCGACGGAAGTCAATGGCGTTCCGGGGGCCAGTCTCTCTCCCTCTTTCTGTCTAATCTACCTCACAGGATTGTAGTGAAGACTCAGGAACACTAGGTGTTCCCAACCTTTTTGATGAAGAAGAAGAAGAGGAAGAAAAGATTGGATTTATACCCCGCCCTTCACTTGGAGTCTCAGAGCGATTTACAAACTCCTTTCCCTTCCCCTCCCCACAACAGACACCCTGTGAGGTAGGTGGGCCTGAGAGAGCTCTTTCGAGAACTGCCCTTGAGAGAACAGCTCTGAGAGAACTTATGACAGACCCAAGGTCACACCAGCAGCTGCATGTGGAGGAGTGGGAAATCAAACCCGATTCTCCCAGATTAGAGTCCGCGGACTTGACCACTACTCCAAACTGGCTCCAATGTGGGCACCTTTGGAATACTGACCACAGGATAGTGGGTGAAGCCACAAAATGGCCACCATGAGAGGTGGAGCCAACAACAGAATGGGGGCCACGGGGGGGGTGGAGCCACACAAAGAGGAAACCCAAATGCAGGTGACAAGAGCAATCATTTTTTAAAAATACACTGTGAACAAGGAGTGTGTGAGAAAATAAAACAAATGGGTGATTCTGCATCTAACATTCATGCCACATTTTCTCAATACTGGGTAATTCTGCATTGGCTTTTCCCTGCGCTGTTTTACGAAACCCACGTTGGAACAGAAATTGCCTTCTGCGTTGCATGCCGCTTTCACTTTCTTTGACCATCGGGTTTTATGGCACCTTCTGCTTAGATTTCTGGCCACTCAGGGGTGACTTTGCAGTCAGCACGGCGTTGCCCCCGGGGTATCTCAATGCGGTTTTGAGCAGCACCTTTTCCTCAGTGTTGACAAAATGCGGAGTGAGTGCTAGATGCAGAATCAGCCACTGAGGAAAAGTGCAGCTCAAAACCACATTCAGATAGCCCAGGGCCAGGACTTTTTTGTGTAGAAAAAGCCCAGCAGGAACTCATTAGCATATCAGGCCACGCCCCCATGTTACCAGAAGTGTGGTCATCTAGCCACGCCCACCTTTTGCTTCTTATTCTGTTGACCTTGTTTGTGGTCAAAAACCAGGGCCTTTTTTTGTAGCAGGAACTCCTTTGCATGTTAGGCCACACACCCCTAATGTAGCCAATCCTAATGAGTTTCTGCTGTTGGGTGTGGCCTGTTATGCTAATGAGTTCCTGCTGGGCATGGCCAACTCGGGAGCCAGCCGGAACTCCGTTCCTGTGCGTTCCTGCCCCAAAATAGCCCTGCAGGGCTATGCCGTACTTACTGCAAAGTCACCCCTGAATGGCCATAAATCTTTGCAGAAGGTACCGTAAGACCCGATGGTCAAAGAAAGCGAAAGCGGCATGCACTGCAGAGGGGAATTTCTGTTCCAACGTGGGTTTTGTAAAACAACAGAGAAGAAAGCCAATGCAGAATCACCCGATGTTAATGTAACCTTAGCACAGCCAATCAGACCTTCAGGGGATAATTAGAAGCCCGGCTGGACAGAAGTCCCATTAGCCCCACCCACTTTCCAAGAACACTTTGCGGGTACCAGGAAAGGGCCTGGCAGGTGTTATGGCACCCGCAGGCACCACGTTGGGAGGCCCTCAGGTAGAGGAAGAGAGAACCACATATGCTGCCCTGACCTCTTTGGACAGAATAAACATGAGACTGATAGACAAGAAGAAGAGGAGATTGGATCTATACCCTGTCCTTCACTACCCAAGGGAGTCTCAGAGCGGCTTACAACTCCTTCCCCTTCCCTTCCCTACAACAGACACCCTGTGAGGTAGGCGGGGCTGAGAGAGCTCCGACAGAAACTGCTATTTTTTCAAGAACAGCTGTGCCAGAACTACGGCTTGCCCAAGGTCATCCAGCAGGTGCAAGTGGAGGAGTGGGGAATCAAACCCGGTTCTCCCAGATTAGAGTCCGCGCTCCTAACCACTACATCAAACCGGCTCACCAAACAAGCTTCCCATACACTATGGACCTTCCTATCTCTAAGTCTTTCAGGGTGGTATTTTTGTTTTGCACCTCCGGGGGATTTCTCACTTCCTCCTCCCCCTCCCCCGCAGCGGCACTGATTCCCAGATTCTGCGGGCAACCCCTTTGCTCCTCACCCCACAAAGAAAGTTGGAGTGTTCATGGAAGTTCTGTGACACCATTAAGAAGCAGTTTGCGAAGAGGGAACGGGGCGCTTCACACACAACCAGGCGGTACTCACAGGGCTGCTTCCGAGAGCTGCTCTTTGGTCATGTTGAGGGGGTGGTTAATCGCCGTGATACTGTAGCGCGAGCGGTCTACACCTGCAGGCAGGCCGGCCCGGAGGAGGCCGTTGTTGGCCAGGTTGACGAAAGACACCATGGCGTGCCACCCCTTGTTGTTGAACCAGACCTGGGATAGAAACGTGGCAAACCAGCACTGCATTTGCAAGGCCAGACACCAGGACTGTGTACTGCCCACGGGGCTGGATATGAGAGACCATCCACCAGGCATGACCCACCCACCCCCATGCTAGAGACCCACCTCTTCCCTTAATCTGACATTGACCCAATCCCCCAGGGCCCCTAAGAACTCTAGCAGATTGGACCAAAGATCTTATCTGGTCCTTCACCCTGTTTTCTTTGTCGACCATCCAAATGTTCTGGGGATGCTCAGGAAAGTAGATGCCCTGAACCTCTGCCCTGAGCGTCTAAAACAGGGGTGTCGAACTCATTTGTTATGAGGGCCGGATCTGACATAAATGAGACCTTGTTGGGCCGGGCCATGTGTGTCGTAAAATGTAATGCCTGGTAGCAGAGATATAAACTTTATAAAGGACACAAACACAAAGATTTTTTTGAACTTAAAATAAAAACATGCTTAAAACATTAGCTCTGTAAACGGCAAACCTCTTTTGATTTATTGAAGTTTACCACAGAAGTCTCATTCTCAGAGTTCCGAGTCTGGGACCCAGGTTAAAACATGAAATGGCTGAGTGATTAAAGAGAACCTGGTGAAGCAAACTATGATGCAAACAGCAGTAGCAGAACTGGAAGCAGGAGACGGCCAGTGCCACTGTGGGGCTGATGGAAGACCTCCGGGGGCCTGATCTAAAGGTCTTTAAAGCTGTAATATCACACACACTTAGTAGGGCGTAAAAGCACCATGTATCATTGGTATAGGGCTCCTGGTAGGGCTGTGGCCACCCATGGGTACGCATGTTGTTGTTGTTGTTGTTCAGTCGCACAGTCGAGTCTGACTCTTCGCGACCCCATGGACCAGATCCCGCCAGGCCTTCCGGTCTTCCGCCGTCAAGTTTGCTCAATTTCATGTTCGTTGCATCGATTACACTGTCTAACCATCTCATCCTTTGCCGTCCCCGTCTTCTTTGACCTTCAATCTTTCCCAGCATCAGGGTCTTCTCCAGTGAGTGCTCCCTTCTCATTGGGTGGCCAAAGTATCTGACCTTCAGTTTCATTATCTGGCCTTCCAGGGAACAGTCAGGGTTGATTTCTTTTGGGATTGACTTCATTGGGTACCCAACAATATCACAGGAGTGAGAGATGAAAGTTCCCTCTATCCACTTTCTCTACCACATGTATCAATTTTATGCACTTCTATGATGACCCCAGAAGGGAAGGTGGCACTCCGCCGCCTGAGCTTGGCAGATCTCGGAAGCTAAGCTGGGTCGGTACTTGGAAGGGAGACCGCCAAGGAAGCCTCTGCAGAGAAAGGCAATGGCAAACCCCCTCTGCTTCTCACTTGCCTCGAAAGCCCCTTGCTGGGGTCACCATAAGCTGGCTACGACTTGACAGCACTTTACATGTGATTCCATGTGATGTTCCCCCGCCCCCCCATCATCTTTTCTCCAAAGACCCCCAAATTCTTTAGGGTTTTTTGCAGAAAACAAGCCCCTGAATCAATCGAGTCACCCTTTTCTGCACTTCTTCCAACCCTACAGTTTCAAACAGGGAACCTGGTTAGTCTGTAGTAGAAGGGGGGGGGGGACTGAGTCCAGTAGCATTTAAAAGACCAACAAAGTTCTTCTACTGGACCTCAGGATATGAACTCAGGTTCACCCGATCCTTAGTAAAATGTCCTGGGTTTGAAACAATCTAACACTGGAAATTCTGAGAGCTTTGGTCCCTTGTTTTTAAAGATGAGAAATGAGTATTTTATTGCTGAAGTTTGTATATAAAGACGTTCAGAGGTGGCTTGTTATTGCCTGCCTCTGCGTAGTGACCCCTGGACTATCTTTGGTGGCGTGGTCTCCCATCCAAATAATTTGTTGTTGTTGTTCAGTCGCACAGTCGAGTCCGACTCTTTGCGACGCCATGGACCAGATCACGCCAGGCCCTCCTGTCTTCCGCCATCCTCTGAAGTTGGCTCAATTTCATGTTCGTTGCAACTGTCTAACCATCTCATCCTTTGCCGTCCCCGTCTTCTTTGACCTTCAATCTTTCCCAGCATCAGGGTCTTCTCCAGTGGGTGCTCCCTTCTCATTTGGTGGCCAAAGTATTTGAGCTTCAGCTTCAGTATCTGGCCTTCTAGGGAACAGTCAGGGTGGATTTCCTTTAGAACTGACTGATCTGATCTCCTTGCAGACCAAGAGACTTCTCCAGCACCATAATTCAAAAGAATCTATTTTTCGGCACTCGGCCTTCCTTATAGGCCAACTCTCGCAGTCATACATTACTACTGGGACCCAATCAGTCGATTGTTTTATACATTATTTCTCTACAAGATTCAAATCGAGGAAAATGCCAATTTATTTGTTTGTTTGTTTTTTAATTTCAAAGATATAAGCTTTCCTGAGTCAAAGCATCTGACAAAAGTAAGCCTGGACTCACAGAAGCTTATACCTTGGAAACTTTTGTTAGCTTTTAAGATCAGGGCCTTGCGGGACCTTTTATCGCTCTGCATGGCCTGCAAAACGGAGCTGTTTCGCCAGGCCTTCAGGTGAGGCGGGTCATTTCGTAGAAAAAGAGCTAGGGGAACTCATTAGCATAACTCATTAGCATATGCCACACCCCCTGCCATCAGGGGCCCGGCGGTGGACCTGCAAGGCCAGCAGGAGTGCGAGGAAGCCCCACCAAGGCCCTTCCTGGCCCCAGGCAGGCAGGGGTAGGGAGAGGCGGGG